TCATCGATAGTGCTGGTTATGGTCATTGCTATCGCCTCCTCCATCTGATTGGCTGTCTCGTGGTGGGTGTACGTGTGCGCACTGTTGAGGTCTGGACCTCCAGCAGATTGTAATAGCTGCATGAGGGTGGGAGGTGGCTCGGTCCAGCAGATTGTAACAGCTGCATGAGGGTGGGAGGTGGCTCGGTCCAGCAGATTGTAACAGCTACATGAGGGTGGGAGGTGGCTCGGTCCAGCAGATTGTAACAGCTGCATGAGGGTGGGGGTGGCTCGGTCCAGCAGATTGTAACAGCTGCATGAGGGTGGGAGGTGGCTCGGTCCAGCAGATTGTAACAGCTGCATGAGGGTGGGAGGTGGCTCGGTCCAGCAGATTGTAACAGCTGCATGAGGGTGGGAGGTGGCTCGGTCCAGCAGATTGTAATAGCTGCATGAGGGTGGGAGGTGGCTCGGTCCAGCAGATTGTAACAGCTGCATGAGGGTGGGAGGTGGCTCGGTCCAGCAGATTGTAACAGCTGCATGAGGGTGGGAGGTGGCTCGGTCCAGCAGATTGTAACAGCTGCATTAGGGTGGGAGGTGGCTCGGTCCAGCAGATTGTAACAGCTGCATTAGGGTGGGAGGTGGCTCGGTCCAGCAGATTGTAACAGCTGCATGAGGGTGGGAGGTGGCTCGGTCCAGCAGATTGTAACAGCTGCATGAGGGTGGGAGGTGGCTCGGTCCAGCAGATTGTAACAGCTGCATGAGGGTGGGAGGTGGCTCGGTCCAGCAGATTGTAACAGCTGCATGAGGGTGGGAGGTGGCTCGGTCCAGCAGATTGTAACAGCTGCATGAGGGTGGAGGTGGCTCGGTCAGCAGATTGGTACAACAGCTGCATGGAGGTGGAGGTGGGCTCGGTCCAGCAGATTGTACAGCTGCATGAGGGTTGGGAGGGTGGCTCGGTCAGCAGATTGTAACAGCTGCATGAGGGTGGGAGGTGGCTCGTCCAGCAGATTGTAACAGCTTGCATGAGGGTGGGAGGTGGCTCGGTCCAGCAGATTGTAACAGCTGCATGAGGGTAGGAGGTGGCTCAGTCCAGCAGATTGTAACAGCTGCATGAGGGTAGGAGGTGGCTCGGTCCAGCAGATTGTAACAGCTGCATGAGGGTAGGAGGTGGCTCAGTCCAGCAGATTGTAACAGCTGCATGAGGGTGGGAGGTGGCTCGGTCCAGCAGATTGTAACAGCTGCATGAGGGTGGGAGGTGGCTCGGTCCAGCAGATTGTAACAGCTGCATGAGGGTGGGAGGTGGCTCGGTCCAGCAGATTGTAACAGCTGCATGAGGGTAGGAGGTGGCTCGGGGTGTTTGTGTTTGCCATATGCAACACAACCTTCAATTGTGTTTTGAATGCCTCGTTACAGGCAACCTGCGACTTCTCCACATGCTGTATCTTTGCCACGCTCTGGTTGACCACCCTTGAAGCTTCGATGTGGCTGTGGCTACTTTTGTGATCATTCAGCGCTGATTTCTGCATCGTCGTGCACCCTCGCACAAATCCGTTCTTAGCTTTTCTACAGATGTCGCAGAACATTTTGCCATCTTCCCTCCTCAGCCACGTAAACTCTTGCTCCCACTGAACCCGGTACTCCCGCTTCAACTCCTTGCCACTTGCTTGTCCCTCTGCCGCTGGCTGAACGTTGTCAGTGTTGGTCTTCCTGGCTTGTCCTTCATCCTCCACTGCATCAATCCCTCTCTTTTCACCTCGTTTATCCACACCATCACAATTACTGGGCTTATTAAAAAAGCTTCGGACACTCAGCTGCCGTGACATTTTGCGATTGCTAAAGCCGGTTAAACAACGAGGCAGGGGCGGCGCCTAGCAACGGCGCCTAGCAACCCCATTGTTTTGTTATGAAAATGTATCTATATATATTTATTAGGGCAGTTAGGTCAGTCGATTAAAATAGTTAATCGCGATTAATCGCACATTTTTATCTGTTCTAAATGTACCTTAGAGGGATATTTCTCAAGTTTTTAATACTCTTATCAACATATGAGTGGACACATATGCTTTAAATGTTTGTTTATTATCATTTGAACAATGACAAATATACTCATGAATATTAAACACAACAACCTCTGAACATTACAAGTGTGTGTGTGTGTGTGTATGTGTATGTGTATGTGTGTGTGTGTGTGTGAGTGTGTATGTGTATGTGTATGTGTGTGTGTGTGTGTGTATGTGTATGTGTATGTGTATGTGTGTGTGTGTGGTGTGTGTGTGTGTGTGTGTGTGTGTATGTGTATGTGTGTGTGTGTATGTGTATGTGTATGTGTGTATGTGTATGTGGTATGTGTATGTGTGTGTGTGTATGTGTATGTGTATGTGTATGTGTATGTGTGAGTGTGTATGTGTATGTGTGTATGTGTATGTGTTATGTGTATGTGTATGTGTTGTGTGGTGTGTGTGTCTGTGTCTGATGTCTGTTGTGTGTGTGTGGTGTGTGTCTGTGTCTGTGTCTGTGTGCGT